CTAAAGTATGCAACTGCCTGGCCTTGGGGTATAAATTGGGTCAGAGGGGCTAAGTGGCCCAGAGGCAGTGAGACCAGCCAGGGATGTGCCTCTGAAGGGTAGGTCTTGTCCTGGGACTCCTCCTCCGGTCTCAGCTCCCTGGCTGCTGAGCTTTAAGGAGCCCTTCCTTACCACCCCCCCTACACCGCCACAATGTTCTGCCTTGCCACAGGCCCAAAGTGATGGAGCCAGCTGAGCAGCACTGAGCCCTCTGAAACCCTAGGCCAAGACAAATACTTTCTCCTGTAAGCTGATTTCTCAGGCATCTTTTCCCAGAAGCAACAACAGCAACAAACATAGAATGAATCCCCTGACCAGGGGAGAGCAGAGAATGCAGGCCAGGGATGCCAGCCAGGAGCTGGAGGTGAACAAGGGGAGAAAGAAATGAGTTTCCTTTGGGGAAAACCAGAGCGAGGGAAGCAGTTTTCAGGTTGGTAGAAGCCTGAAGTTCTTCGAAGCTGAGAAGGAACTGGCCAAGGTGAGCACACAAATGCTAAGGATGAGCAAGAGGTGCCGGGGGCAGGAGGCCCTGCAAAGGGAATGTAAGAGAAACCTGAAGCCTGTTATCAGACAGTTCTGGGCTCATCTGAGAAGTTGGATTAATGCCCATCTCAAGGGTTTGTCCAAGTTGAAGATGCTGGGTCAGCAGTACCTGGGTCCGTGCAGGCCCATGCTAAATGCTGTGTGCTGGCCCTTTTCTTCATTTTTACTAGCCCAGCAAGAATTGGGCTGTGTCTTGGTTACTTTTCTCTTGCTGTAAAGAGACACCATGACCAAGGCACTTATTTTAAAAAATTTTAATTGGGGGCTTCTTACAGTTTCAGAAGGTGAGTCCATGACCATCATAGCAAGGACCATGGCAGCAGGCAGGCATGGTGCTGACACAGTAGAGTAGCTGAGAGCTCACATCTGATCCACAAACAAGAAGCAGAGAGAGCAAGACTGGTGGGCTTTCTGAACCTCAAAGCCCACCCCTGGTGACACAACTCCCCAAAACCTCTTAACCCTTCCCAAAACAGTTCCACCAACTAGGGATGAAGCATTCAAATATACAAGGGCTGAGGTGAGTGTTGTCTGGATGGCTGAGGACAAAGCTGAGGGGAGAGAGAGACAGCCAGGACCCCTGCACCAAGTGTACCATTGAAGCTGACACCTCCTGGGGGGCCTCAGTACCCCAACTCTACAGTTGACAATGCCCTCCTTAGAAAACAAAGGAAGCATAAGCCACCAAATCCAGCAGGGTCCCTCTTCACCCTGCCTTGCACCTCCCCAATTTCACTCTTTACAACCCAGGTACATACACCCCAAGTTTGCAGCCTTAGAGCAATTGGGGGGGGGGTCTGTGGCCCCGGTGTTTCTCTGTCTCTTTCCTATCCTGGCATGACAGTTTAAGGGAAAGTTTTTTAAAAACCGAATGCTATGGTTTTTATGTAACTTTCAGGTTTATTCAATAACTGAAGGGACCCAGAGTCAATCACACTCATTGTAACGAAGGGCGTTACAAGCCCTGTTCCATGTTACTCCTGTTAAGGACCCAGCTAGGTAGACAGCTACTGTTGCTGAGAGGTTAAGCTGACACCACAGTACCCTCTCATATCAATGGGCAATTACCTCTAGGCTTTCTATTGCCCCCTACTGTAAGTTCTCTGCTCGCACCTAAGAGTCAGTGCTCTAGCCAAAATAGAACTCTGCCACTCTGACAGCTTCTTTGTGTTGTTGTTTTGCTTTGCCTCTTAACATTTACCATGTGGACGTGTGAACGCAGAGGTCAGAGGACAGCTTCTTTCCTTACACCGAGTGGAACTGAACTCATGTAGTCACATGCTTGACAACAGCACCTTTTCCCACTGAGCCATCTCTCCAGCCTCTCTGACAGCTTTCCATGGCACCTGGGCTAGGTAGCCTGTGAGCTAGGTCCTGCTTACCTCACTGGCTACACCCCAGTGCCCTCCTTTCTCCCCCAGTCCTCCAAACTTAACCCCTAGCTGTTGTTCTCCTTGGCACACTCCTCCACCTGTCTTTGCCATCATTAATGTTTCAACACAGTGTTGCACCAAGGGAGGCCATACACCTAACCTAGCCTGAGACAGTGTCCACTTTCTCTTTTGTTTCATTTGGTTTGGTTTGGTTGAGACAGGGTTTCTCTGTATAGTCCTGGCTGTCCTAGAACTCACACTGTAGACCAGGCTGGCCTTGAACTCACAAGGATCCACCTGCCTCTGCCTCCCAGGTGCTGAAATTAAAGGCGTGCCCTGCCACCACCACCCACCTAAACACAAGTCCAACAGTAACTATTTGCTTTGTAACTCTTATCATTTTAAATTATCTGTATCCATTTTCATTCTTTTTTTTTTCATCCCCAATTGATGGATCCCAAGTTCCCTGAAACTAAGGACATTCCCGTCTCTGTGTTTAGAACCAGGAAAGATCCAAGGAGGATTTGATGAAGGACATAAAGAGGGTAGGGTAAGGGAAGCCAGGATTTGAATCCAAGTCGGTTTGGGAGTTCAGGGCTCTTCTCTGCCTTCTGGGGCTGGGGAGGTGGCTCAGTAGTTAAGAGCACCGGCTACTCTTCCAGAGGACCTGGATTTGACTCACAGCACCCACATGCTGACTCACAACCATGGGTAACTCCAGTTCCAGGGGCCTGACACCCTCTCCTGGCCTCTGAGGGCACCTGGCAGACACAATGCACGACGCACATATAAAGCACTCATACATATAAAAATTTTATTTTTAAATGTACTTTACTGTGAGTGTATGAATGTTTTGGCTGCATCCATGTATGTATACCACATGCATGCCTGTTGGATCTCCTGGATCTAGGATTACAATGTTTGTGAGCCACCATACAGGTACTGGATCTTGAACCTGGGTCCTCTGCAAGAGCAACAAGTGCTCTTAGCCTCTGAGTCATCTCTCCAGCTTTGCACATCAAAATAGTAAATTAAAACATTTTCAGTCTGGTGCTAAGAATGGTGGTTCTTCAATCCCAGCAGTTGGGGGCAGAGGCAGAAGCCCCAGCAGAGACGCCCTGGGAGGAGACTGAGATGGAAAGGTGCCTTGGTCCTGCCTTAATGAGATGATGGGACAGACTTAGACTTCCTGTGGGAGGCTTTACCCTCTCTGAGGAGTGTGGGGGAAGAATGGGGAGCAGGAGGAGGGGAGCGAGTGGGAACTGGGATTGGTATGTAAAATGAGAAAAGATTATTTTAAAATAAAAAAGATGATAAAATTAAAAAAATATATTTAAAAAAAAGAAGGTGCCAGGCAGTGGTGGCGCACGCCTTTAATCCCAGCACTCAGGAGGCAGAGGCAAGCAGATCTCTGTGAGTTCGAGACCATCCTAGTCTACAAGAGCTAGTTCCAGGACAGCCACCGAAGCTACACAGAGAAACCCTGACTCAAAAACAAAAGGCCAAATGGGCTGGGCAGTGGCGGCACGTGCCTTTAATCCCAGTGCTTGGGAGGCAGAAGCCAGTGGATCTGAGTTTGAGGCCAGCCTGCTATACATAATGGGTTCCAGGAAAGGCAGAGAGCTATATAGTAGAAAGACGCTATCTCAAAAAAAATTTTTTTGCTCGGCGGTGGTGGTGCACACCTTTAATCCCAGCACTCGGGAGGCAGAGGCAGGTGGATCTCTGTGAGTTCGAGACCAGCCTGGTCTACAACAGCTAGTTCCAGGACAGCCTCCAAAGCCACAGAGAAACCCTGTTTCGAAAAACCAAAAAAAAAAAAAAAATTGTTTTGTTTTTGTTTTTTCAAGATAGGGTTTATCTGGGTAACAGTCCTGGCTGCCCTGGAACTCATTTGTAGATCAGGCTGACTTTGAACTCACAGAAATCCTCCTGCTTCTGCCTCCCAAGTGCTGGGATTAAAGGCATGCACCACCACCACCCAGCCAAAAGATTTTTGTTTTTTTTAATTTGCCTCAATGGACCAGAGAAGCTGAGGGTACAGTTCAGTAGTGTTTGCCCAGCCTGAGCTCTGGGCTTGAACCCAATGCAGGGTGAGGGGACACCAGGAAAGCAGTCTCTGTATACTTAGAATAACACACGCCAGTCTAACCACACTCCCTCAGATGTGTGGAACAACCAGGTGTGTGTAGTGTGGTCAGGTACACAGGTCACTCACATCACTAAAAGGCAATGCAAGACAGGTGTGGTGGTGGAGTCCTATAACCCCAACACTTTCTGGGAGGGGTGGAGCCAGAAGGATCAGGAGTTGGGAACCTGAGACCCTTTCTCTCAAAATAAAAAAAAAAAATACCCAGTGAAATGTTTTAACAGGAAAAGATCCCTGCCACTAAGCCTGAAAACTTGAGTTTGGTCCTTGGAACCCACGTGGTGAAAGGAGATAATCTACTCCTCCAGGTCGGTCTCTGACCCCCAGGCACCTTGGTGTATGCACATGTGTGCTAGTGGGGTGCGTGCACATGTGTGTGTGCGTGCACACACAATAAATCTAAGAAGCAATTGGAAAGGGAAAAATAAACAAAAAGCAATAGGGGCTGTAAAGATGGATCAGCGGTCATGAGCACTTACTGGTCTTCCAGAGAACCCAAAATTGGTTCCCAGCACCCACCCTGGGCAGCTCACAACCACCTGTAACTCCAGTTTCAGGGGACCCAACACTCTCTTCTGGCCTCATGGAGCATCCACATGCACGTGGCATATACTCTCGTAGACAGACAGACAGACAGACAGACACACACACACACACACACACACACACACACACACACACACACACACACACACACACACACACAAACACGTGAATTTATTTTTTATTAAAAGCAGTAATAACATAGCATTTAAGCCTGGTGTGGAGGTGCACACTTGTAATCCCAGCACTCAGGAGTCTATAGCAGGACGACAAGTTTGAAGCCAGCCTGGGGAACTTAATAATAAAAAACAAAACTGAATCATCTACCCCTCTCGGTAAACTCTCAACTCCTTGGACCCAGACCCATTGCCTTAACACACCTTCCTTAGCCCGAGATCACTGCTTCTGGCCCATGAGAATGTCAGTACAGCTTCACCCTACCTCGCCCTACACAGAATCAAACTAAGAGACTTCTCTGTAAACCACCCTCTGAAGTAGCATCTCTCCACCCAAGAGGAACAGTTCCACTGGGCCATCCAGAGGGTCTGGGACTTATGCAACAGTGCTCTAGTGATCCCTGCCCTGGAGCTGGATGGCATGTCTTCCCCAGAACCATTTCTCCTAGGTTGGGGGTTGGGGTTTTTTTGTTTTGGTTTGGTTTTCCAAAACAAGGTTTCTCTATATAACAATCCTGACTGTCCTGGAACACCCTCTGTAGAACAGTCTAGATTGAACTCACAGAGATGCTCCTGTCTTGCCTCCCAAGTGCTGGGATTAAAGGAGAGTGCCACCACCATCTTTAATCCACTGATTTCCTAGGTTGGTCTTTTGCATCCATCCCTCATCTTTGCTCAGGAAAGGCTGCAGAAAATGCCCTTCTGCAATTGCCGAGGATTTAACAACCCTCGGGGTGCCCTCATCCTTCTCCTCAGGTGTCTCTGACAATCAGATGGGCATGGGGATGGGACCACAGTTGGTGCCAGCAAGCAGCTTATTTGTCCAGTGCTGGGATTATATGCCCATCTTCATTTCTCCAGCTTTTATGGCCACATTTCTGTTTGTCTACCCCACAGCATTTACAAAGACACCTCAGATCTTTCTCTGTAGAGATGGAGCATAAAGAAATCCAATGCATAACTATTCATATAGCATCCTTCATCAGCAAACTCCTGTAAAGACTCTGTCCACAACCCCATGAACATAACAAAGAATGCTCCCTCTATACAGCCCCAGCTGTGATTTTTACATTAAAACAATACCAAGAGGTTGGGGCCGGAGAGCTGACTCAGTGGTTAAGAGCACTGGCTGCTCTTCCAGAGGACCCAGATTTAGTTCCCAGCACCCACATGGCAGCTCACAACTGTCTCTAATTCCAGTTCAGGGGACACGACACCCTCACACAGACATGAATACAAACAAAACACCAATGCACATGTAATAAAAATAAAGTTAAAAAAATACCAAGAAATACACATTCAGTATAAACTATTTCTTGTGGCATTTGTTTCACCTTTTAAGGTAGCTTCATTCTGAAGCGCAGGCTAGATAGCCTAGGCTAGCCCTGAACTCCCAATTCTGTTTCGGCTTCCCAAGTACTGGGATTAGATGTAAGCCTCCATAATTGGATTCTGATCTTTTTATTGGCTACCATTATAGCGGGGGACTCCCGATGCTGGGCAACAGAGGCACCAGAAGCACACCTCTGCCTGCAGGCCAACACGAGAGCTGCTCAGCACTTTATAACACAACAGACTTTGCCCATCTATGGCCACGCTCTGAGCCCTCTAAGATGGAGCCGAGCCCTAAGTTCAGCGAGTGAGGTATATGAAGTTTTTACGTTCTGTACATGACTCTGTACATTGGTTAATTCCAGACTACTGTAGTCAAGGAGCCTCGTACTTTTAGGAATAAATGTGCTGACCACAGGGATGAGGCCAGGAATGGTCAGGGACAAACTGAGTTCTCAGAATCAATGACAAGTCTGATGGTGACCGGCACAGCTCCAGCAATTCCCAGGCCTGTTCATTACCATCTCTGCTGCCCTGGCTTGATCACTCCTTCCCAGGACTCTTGTAAGCATTCTATTCTCGGTGAGGTAAGGAGGGATCTGAGGTTCTCTGACATGCCCCCATCCCAGGCCCCCACCTGTGTCTCTCCACTGCCCTCCCTCACCCCAAAGAACCAGGCCACACACTGGGTTTCAAGTTTCTGTCACCCCCTCCCAGAGTCCTCTCTCTCTAGACCCATCCCTCCCCTTTCCCCCAAAAAAAAGAAAAGAAAAAAAAGAGAAAAAATCCCAGAAATAAAAAAAAAAAAGCCACAGTTAGACCTTCCACTCATGCAAACCGGCAAAGAAAAAGGTGGGAGGCATGTGGAAGACAGGGAACCCACAGCAGAGTCCCTTACTTCTCCCCCCCAAAAACCACCTTTGAGAAGAAAACTGGAGAAAATAAATGAGAAATCAAATGACATGGGGAGTGATGATGGGGCAGGGGTGACCCCAGCCCCTGCCTCAGGAGAACGTGGAAGCCTGTGGCCCTGCATCCCCACAGCGGGTACTCCTTGAGAGGGGCCCTGACTTCTGGAATGTATGTGGGAGAAAATGGGGAGGGCAGAGGCCCCCAGTGGGTCTGTGTGTGCATGGGGGCGGCAGGGGTAGGGGTGGTAAGGAGGAGGGGCTCAGAACCAGGAGCCCAGCTCCCCCCAGGCCCCAGGTTCCCAGGGTCCAAGAGCCCTGTTTTGGGGTACAGGGATACATGCAGAGGAGTGTCCCCCCTCCAATGGGCTAGATCCAGTTAGAAAGGAAATAAATAAGAAGGGTGGGAAGGGGGGCTGGGCTATTCAGTCCAGACCAAGGGCCCAGGTGATGGAGGCAGAGTGAGTCCAGGCCAAGCCAGGGCAGGAATCACAGTCTCTCTCGGGCTGGGACCCAGATGTAGGGGCCTGAGAGGTCTTCAATGACGCGCTTCACTTTGTGGTAGATCTCCTCAAAGCTGTCGCCCTCCACGATGGCTGCCAGTGGGGTGGAGCAGGGAGTGAGGCCAAGGTCCCAAGGACACATGACCAAGGAGCCCAGAGCAAGGAGCACCTTCCACTCCTTCAGCCAGAAGCCCTGGTCCCTCGCCCACAGGCAGGATACCTCTTCCCACACCGCATCTCAGCAGACTGCCTGCACTCACGGCACACAGGGAAGTGGGTGGCCTCTCACCTGAGAAGCACTCTGTGAACTCCTGCTCCAGTTTAGTCTCTCCAGCAAAGGCTTTCCGGGCTTGCTCCTCTGTGATCCGCTTATTGATCTCTCTGTCAAGAGGGAGAGATGCAGATCTGAGGGGTGGGCCCCTCTCCGCATCTTTACCTCCTCCATCCTGGCATGCTAAGTTACTTCTTTTCCTTAGTCGGAGCACAAAGCAAACAACATAATTTCTGATATCCTCTGGGGCTGGCTACAAATGAGCTCCGGAAACCCACCCAATCCAGAACCTCTCTGGAAGCAATCCTTCCAGCCTTTAGCCCCACAGAAGGGATCCAGACTCCAACTTCCAACTGCCTCTGAGGTTCCGATTTGCCCCAGCCTGTGTATGCCCCAGGGGGCTACTGAGAACTGTAGTGAGTGCTGCCTGGCCCGAGGCAGGAGAAGTGGGGAGAGGCCTGCCATTGCTTCCAGTCCTGGCTCTCAACCTCAGTCCAGCTCTCTGAGCTCAGTGGGAATTGCTGTCCAAGGTTCTGAGAGGGCAGATCAATGTAGGGGCCTGGAGAGCCCGTGATCACAAGTGTAGGGAGCAGAGGGGAAGCCCCCAGGACCGTACTCACAGCACATTCTCCAGGGAA